AAAAAAAAAAAAAAGCCAGTGCCTGTGTGCTAATAAACGGAACTGCCTCGACAGAACCCCCGCCGCGTCTGAGTGTCCTTTAACCTGAGCTGTTGGGGCTGGAGGTCGTGCTCACCTCTCTTCACGGCTCTCTTCCCCCGTCTCCTTCCAAAGGGGACCGGAGGGAAAGAGTAATCCGGGCCGTTCACTTGCTCACCAGAAGGAACGAGGCTAGTGCTGTACGGGTCGGCCGCCGGTGGCGGACCCGACAAAGTATGGTCCCCCAAAAGCTATGTCTTTAATTAACTGCTAATCCATAAAGAAAAAGTAATCACACCAGGGCTTCTACCATCTTCCAAGAGATTTCTTCCTATAGGTCTTCTCATCTTGCGGGCTACTTCTTCAGAGAAGTCTTCCCCAACCTGCCTGTCTAAAGCAGCATGCCACTCTCCCCATAACTCAACTACTCTATTGCAACTCCTCTATTTATTTCCTTCATAGTGCTGATTGTAAATCTGTTTGTTCATTCACTGTCTTCCTCTAGAAAGTAATTTCCTAAAGGCAGGCCTTATCTGTCTCATTCAGGTCCATGCCCTGACAGACAGTAAGAGCCTGACAAATATTTGTGGTATAAATATTAAAAAACTGAAAACAATCTAAATGTTCAATAGGGAGAAATTGTCTCAAAAAATTAAAGTACAACAAGTAATAACAGGACAGAATATTATGCAGCCATTTAAAACAAAGATAAAGAAGTATATTTATTGGAAAAGTAATATGATAGATAACATGCAAAACAGAGTAAGATGACGAATTCATGAAATTCTAGCTATTCTGCTGTTGAACCTATCTTAAAGGTGCTTCACAAAAATGAACATGAGAGATTCCTGTTAAGATAAAATATTAGATAAGGGAATGATATCTGTGTTTGGAACGTTAATAAATATCATCCACTCTGGGTTGGAGTAAGACATTTTAAAAACCATGGAACGAATCCAAGATATTTCTAAAAATTTAAGGAACTTACAAACTAATCTAATACTGACAGCAGCATCAGCGCTTGCTTGGAAAAGAAAGGGACAAAAGGGTCAAAAAGATGGAATTACAAAGGGGCATGAAATTTAGGGGGTGATGGATATGGTCATTATCTTGATTATGGTGATGATTTCATAGGTGAATACAAATGCCAAATTTACCAAATTATGCATTTTAAGTATGTACACTGTAATGTATGTCATTTATACCTCAATAAAGCTGTTTTAAAAATTACGGTACTGGAGGCTGGCTGGTCAGCTCAGTTGGTTAGAGTATGCTGTTATAACACCAAGGTCAACAGATCCTCAAACCAGCCAGCTGCCAAAAAAAAAAAAGGTCTTTGAAAAAAATAAAAGTTAAGGAACTGATAAGTTGACTTAAAAAAACAACAACTTATAAGTTTAAAATCATTACAATGATTTATAGCCTATTTTACTACAAACCTGTCATGTCAACTATGGTCCATCTATTTCTAAAAATTTAAGACCAAGGATGACTTTACTAGTGAAGTTTCTAATAATGCTATCTTAAACTTGTTTTAGGATTTCAAATATAAAAATACTTTATAGAAAAAAGACAGGAAGAGCACTAAGAATTAAATGAGGTAATGAGATACATTTGATAAATGTTAGCCCAGCTACTACTTTTGTTGTCGCTATTTCTACTACAGTTATTATATCCAAGAAATTTAGACAGCATAAATCCACATTCATTAACATAGCATCATCTAACCTAGTCTCATCTCTTGCAAATTCCTTCTCCCTGTATTACAGCCAAACTACCTAAAGTTCTCTTCCAATGGACCATGCTCTCATATCTCCCTCATCCATCTCTTCATTTTTATAAGCTATGCCTCAACTCCTATTTTTCTGCCTCAACTCCTATTTTTCTGCCTCAACTCCTTCTCTGCCCCTACTCTCTTTATCATCTAGATAATTCCCAATCATCTTTTTAAAACTTACTTCAGATGTTCCCTCTTCTGGAAAACCTTATCTCTAATGCCCAAAAATAAATTAATGCCATTCTTGGATATTTCCCCAGCACACTGCCCCTAACTCTCAGCATAGCACATATCCCATGGTATGATTTATTATACATTTATTTGTATGTCTTCTCCCATCTTTCTGTGATCCACTTGAAGTAATGGCTGTGTCATTCCCCGTCTAGTAGGATACCATCTAAAATAGGCACTCAATATGACTGCTAAAGGAACAAATTTTATCAACAGTAAATTATCTAGGGGCCGGCCCGGCGGCGCACTGCTATAGTGCGCCGCTTGGGAAGCACGGTGGCGCTCCCGCCGAGGGTTCGGATCCCACATACAGACCGGTTCCCGCTCACTGGCTGAGCGAGGCGCGGGAGCAACACCGAGGGTTGCGATCCCGTTGCCGGTCCCGGTCCGGTACGGGGGCAACACTGAGGGTTGCGAACCGTTGCCGGAC